GCCTCCTCCTCCTTCTGCCGAAGCACCACCGCCAGCACCTCGTCTTTGTCCATGGCGACGATCCGACACACCCTTTCCCCTCCTCCTCCGGCGTCCCATGCTTCCGTGCCTGTCGCCGCGCCCCCGCTCTCACCACACCACCTGATTCCCTTCCCTCTCTCCTCCACCGAGGTCAAAGTGATCCAGGCCCCACTCACCATCCCAAGCCGCGCCAAGGACCTGGTGCGGGTTGCCACTTCCGTCATCGGATCCCGGAGCATAGTGCAGGCAGCGTGGGAAGGCTTGCGGTCGGCGGTATAAGGGGGGGGGCTGAGAGCGGGCGGGGCGAGAGGGACGGCGTCGCTGGGTGCTAAGGGAGGATTGCGCACAGGTTGCGGCAACAGTCTGGCCAGGAACGTATGCTCAGCCTCGTCGGTGTTGCTGAGAAAGGAGGTGGAGGAGGAGGAAGAGTCCTGAATGGGATTGGAAGGGCCGTAAAAAGAGGACGGGATGTGGACGCGTCTGCGGGCAGTCTGGGAGTCTCCGGTGATAGGCGCAACCTTGCTGGCGGCAGTGGAGGAGGAAAATATACTAAGTTGCGGCAAGGCACCTTCGCAGGCGCTGCTTGGTCGAGAGGAAGGCGGTGATGGTGATGTTGTGGTGGGAGGAGGAGAAGACATGGCTGCTGAAGTTCACGCGGCAATGCCCACAGGGCAACGTCAATTATAAGGCTAAGGCTATGGGAGGGTTTGAGCACGGGGCGCGACGTAGCTCTCCTCCGTCCCTATGTACGCATCGCATGTATGTACCTGTGCGAGAAAAAAACGTTGAATGGGACGTCAGACAGGCAGCATCGTACGGAGGCAGGTGTTGACTTGACTTTGAGAGAGTTGCTGCTTTGGCGAACATGCGAGTACGCGTCTTCCCCTCAGCCGGTTCAATTTTGTATGACAGATGCAACCTACATTCGCTCCTTTTAACAGGCCAATTGCGTCCAGACCAATGCCTAAGAAGAGATTGCCTTCAAAGAAGGCGGCATTGATGACGGGGGGGAAGAAACGGAATCCCAGCACCACGGCGCCGGATCCTGCGGCTGGTACACAAAGCTCCTATACCCGTGATGGTGCTCCGTCGATTAACGCGAGCTGTCATGGGAATAAGCCTCTGCCCGCTGCTGGAACTAAAACATCCTTGACTCCGGAATCTCAAATAAAACGGAAGCGTGTTCGGAGGAACAGGAAAAACGCGAAATTAGCGTCGAGCGCTCCAAATGAAGTGCCCCTGGCAACCTCCTCCCCTATCCCCTCTTTTGCCGCTACCATTCTGGGAGCTGGGCCGGTCAGCCCACCCCCGACTTCCTCTGTCAACTCACAGTCTACCTCCTCAAAATCCAGAAAGAGGAAGAAGAGGCATCCTGTGAACGCGGGAATCTCGTCTTCGTCCTCGCACTTGGTTTCCCTTGCCCATCCTCAAAATCATCCGTCGTCAGAGGTAGCCCTGAAAAGGGTGTCTCCATCGTCATCTGGCCCAGTTCTTAGTGCCCTTCAAGCGAAAATGAAAGCCAGGCTGGAAGGAGCGCGCTTTCGCGATATCAATGAGATGCTGTACACCTCCCGTGGCGACCATGCCCTTACCACGTTCAAAAACGAGCCCGCTCTCTTTGAAGCGGTCAGTTCATGTCAGATATAGACGTGAAGAATGGAACCATGCACACCTCCTGACACGCCTTCCCTTCATCATTTCTCTTCCCTTTCCTGACCGCCCCTTAGTACCACAAAGGCTTTCGGGAGCAAGTCCAGAAGTGGCCCCGGAACCCCCTAGACGATATTATCGCATGGGTGCGCAGGCAGCCACGGACGCACACTTTTGCCGATTTTGGCTGTGGAGAGGCTCGTCTGGCGGCCTCCTGCCCCCACCATACGGTCCACTCATTCGACCTGGTAGCTCCTGGGGGGGAGGAGGCAGGGAGGGCGGGGACAGTGATTGCTTGCGACATGGCAAACGTCCCACTGCCGTCGGAGAGCGTCCACGGGGTGATTTTCTGTCTGTCACTCATGGCTACGAACATGATGGATTCCCTTCGGGAGGCCGTACGCGTGTGCGTGGAAGGAGGGGTGGTCAAGGTGGTGGAGGTCCGAAGCCGGTTCGAGGGGCAAGGCGAAGCGGAGGAGGGAGGAAAGGAGGGAGGGAAAGAAGGAGGGGGAGGTGGAATCGAGAAATTTGTGGCAGCCTGCCAGGCGTTGGGCTTAGCGTGCAAACGGCTGGACAGGACGAACAAGATGTTTTTCCTGGTCGATTTCGTCAAGGTGGGGAAGGAGAAGGAGACGGGGGGGAAAGGGCAGAAAAGGAAAGGAGCAACGTCTGGTTCCGCACCGGGAAACGTCACGGAGAAAGGGAAGGAGAAAATTAGGCGAGGTGGGAAACGTGGTGGGGGTGAACAGGGCAAAGGGAGTGGGCAAGGGTCAGATATGAAAGCGGGACCCGGGTCCCCCAGAGCGGGAGGACGGGGGAAAGGCGGGAAGGAGGATGGGAAGCGGCCGGACTTTCGCGCCAAACCCTGCCTATATAAACGCCGATAAGGTCGGCTGCATGTAAAAGAGGCATTCGCACAAATACTCGCCAAAGGTCCCCACAGCAACCAATGCATGTGGTATTCTTTGCTGCCATTCCTCTATCGCGACCGTGGCCGCTCCTTCTCTTGTATAAGCCAAACGCCCCTTCCCTCCCTCCCCCCCGGATTCCCATCGTCCTACCACTCTAGTATCTCAGCCCTCACACCGCAACCCCTCACGCTCACCCCGACGTGGCCTCTTTTTTCTTGGCGGCCTGTACGATGAACATAGGGTCGCTCCGACCAGGGTTGGGGCTGATATCCACCGCTGTCGGAGGCTCGAACAAGGGACTTCCGTACCGAAAGTACGCGCCCACGATAAAGACATGGCCAGCGTCGCCCGTCTCGAGCCAAATGGAGACGGCTTTGGTGGGGAAACACCGGTTGGACATGCTCATAATGCAGGTCCCGCCCGGCTTCAAGACCCGCGCGATCTCCGCGAAGACCTCAAGCGGGCGGATGAGGTAGTCGACGCTCACCACGCAGGTGACCACGTCGAAACTCTCGTCGCAGAAGGGAAGGGTGGGGTCCACGTTGAGGTCCTGCCGGGTGTCGAGGGGGCGGCGGGGAGGAGGAAGCGTGAGCCAGGACAGGAGCAAGAGGAAGGACGGGTGGAATGCCCTCTCTAGACCGAGCGCCGGAGCGCTGTGGGCAACAGAGCATGGTCAAATGAAGCGGGGGATACCCTGGGGCAACCACGCCTCGCCCCAGACGGTGGGATACGAAATATGTCCGGAAAAGTCCGGGTAGGAAAATTCCCACACCGGGGCCCAAGAGCTGACACGAGCGCCTACGTCCTAGAAAGAAATGTGAACACCTCCGGCAAAAAGCCAGGCACGTACCTTGACCACGTACTCGTCCAACTGCTTGTTTTTGGCGAGTTCCGCTTTGTTCATGCCCATCCCCACCGTCCGCTTCCTCTTGGCACCCTCGGGGTAGTGGGAGATCCAACTCGAGCAGATGTCGAGCACTTCCGCGTTCGGCGGAAACGTCACTGCGTAATAGTCTGTGAGAAAAAAGACAGAGGATGGAAGCGCCAAATTTGTCAACGTTACACGGAACACCCATGGTATGGATTATGCGACGCTTTCATGAAAGCATGCAAGCACGGCCGAAAAAATCTGATAACAAAATTTCATACGGCTTATCAATACGAAAATATGCCTAGGAAGAGGAAGGATATTGGACTTGTTCGGTGACTGACATGGGACAACGAACCTGTTAACGCCTTTATGGCCGGGTCATCGATGTGGGTGACGAAGCGAGGGCTGGAGTAGAAAGACGTATCGCTCGATTCGTCTTGCCGTTGCCAATCAGTCGGGCGGAAAAATGGCTCCTCTGGCCACTTTGGGTCTTTCAATACGTCTGCGATCTTGACATTCATTGTGGTAAGGCCTCGTCGCGTTGAGGAGGGAGAAGAAGCAACGTCGCTGCAGGACTGAGAGAATGTAGGTGCGATGAAAGCCGTGACGGGGAGGGCACAAAAACACGAAGCTGCTCGACTCCAGTGCTGCAACGACCGCATGGTGTACCTGTATCACATGTGTGGAGTCGTGGCATGATGAGCGTGTGCAGGGCGCGCACTCTAGGTAACAGAGGGTGCTACTTGGCATTTGATCGAGCACTGAGCTCAGCAGGAGTCTTGACGTCAAGTCAGAGGCTTAACATGCCAGAAAGTGTCATTTGCGACTACTTTAATCCTTGTCATGTGCAAGTTTCAAATTCTCATTCCCAACAAATAAAATTGGACAGGTATTGAGTCAGACAGCCCCCTTCAAGCGCTGTAGCCGGGTAGGGGCAGGAGGTTAATCGCCTCCAGGATGAAAAATACTTCGCACGTTCTTTGCCTCTTGGAGTCTAACAAATCCAAAAACAGTGGAATAAATCTTGACGGCCGCGCGTGCAAAAAGGTCGCATTGTCTCGTTTGGTGCGTTGACAGTCCCGTGCGAGGCTCTCGGCTGCTTAGCAGGAGCAAGTAGCAACGGTCTGGAAGTGTGGCGAGGAAATCCGTAGCCCTGCGACTGTTGGTTGACTGACAATTTATGACGCGCACCTCACAACGTCAAGTTGGGTACCAGGTCATAATGCAGGGCTTTGCTTCTTTGGTCAGGAGCACCGTCTGGCGTCGGAGACCTTTGCCCTTTTCTTTCCAGGTACAAGCCCCTCCCCCGTTTCCTGCTCAACGGTTGTGTGCTGTCCGGGAGCTGGCCACCATCCCGTTGCGGTGGTCAAAACCCAACCCGGATGCAAACATAGAAGGCCTTCAGCATCGACTGGATACGCACGGGCTGGCTCAAAAAGAGGAGGCTTCGGATGCGCGGAGAGTGAACGCGTTTGCTGCTGCTTTGCGTATCCTTCGGAGGGAAGGATCTCACCGAGATACAGGGAAAGAAGCCCATCGCCGCGCACTTTTGACACTGGGGCATTATGGCAGGGAACTTGCCCCTGCGGACGCGTTGCGTGTCGTCCATCAGGCATTGGCCATGCGTGGTCTTCAAAAACTTGCTTTTATCACTTTCTTGGAATTGAGCAAGCGGCCTGAAGGACTTGCGGCAATCGTTCAAGACGTCAACGCCTTGCTTCTGTCGAGTTGCCGGACCGAGCAACATCGCATGGCGATTATGCTAGTATCCATGCTGCAACAAGCACACACAAAGCCGGTGCCAGCCGCGGCGTCGGAGGACGGCTTTTCCCCGACAGCCCCCCCTGTGCCTACCCTGTCGCGGGAGGCATCCTTGGCCCTCCTCAGGCTCTTGCAGGAGCGAAGTCGATCGCAGCATTACTGGCACGTAGCAGAGGACATGGTGAAAGACCAGCGGGTGATGGGTGCTTCCGTAGACGTGGAGGTCGTTGCGGCCGCCATGGTAGTGGCGTGGCGGGCCGTTAAATGGGCAGCGGTGCAACGGCTGTCGGCGTATGTGGCTGGAAAGGCAGGGGTGCCCGAGATGGTATTGTTGACGTCGGGGGAGGTAAGGAAAGAGGAAGGGAAGGAGGAGGAGAGTCGGGGGGAATTGCGGCGGGTGCTGTCTCCGGGCCTGTCGGAGTATGCCAGGAAAAATTGGAAGACCGCGATGACGCTTCGAAGCCTCGTGAAGGTTCTGGGACGCATGGATGCGAAGAATGAGGAAGACGTTGCTCCTCCCACAGCCGCGGAAACTGCAGGAGAGGGAACGGGAAGGAGGAGTGGGAGGGACGCGGGCGGACAAGGCCATGTCCCCTCCGCTGGGGCACCCCATGTCTTACACACTGCCCACATGAACATGTACTTGAAAGCGCTCTTACGAGTGCGTCAGCTTGATGAAGCCCATGCAGTCCTCTCGTCCATGCTTTCGCCGCGTTCCCCCCCCTCGACAAAGGCTTTCGGGAGC